CTTCTTTTTGGATGTGTCCATTTATTGTTATAAACTGACCTCTGAGCACTGCTTTTTCTGTGTTCCAAAGGTTCTGGTAGGATGTGTTTTCATTCTCGTTTGATTGTGTGAATTTCTTTATTCCATCCTTAATTTCTTCTATAACCCAGTAGGTTTTGATCAAGGTGTTGTTCAGTTTCCATGTGTTTGATTTTTTTTCCTTGCTTTTTGTGTTGTTGATTTCTACTTTTATGGCTTTATGGTCAGAAAAGATTCTTTGTAATATTTCGATGCTTTGGACTTTGTTAAGGCTTGCTTTATGGCCTAATATGTGGTCTATTCTGGAGAATGTTCCACGTGTGTTGGAAAAGAAAGTATACCTGGCTGCTGTTGGGTGGAGTGTTCAGTATATGTCTGTGAGATCAAGTTTGTTGATCATAGCATTTAGCTCTTCCATGTCTTTGTTGAGCCTCTTTCTGGATGTTCTGTCCTTCACCGAATGTGGTGTGTTGAAGTCTCCTACTACTATTGTGGAACTGTCTGTCTCTCTTTTCAGTGCTGTTGGAGTTTGTTTTATGTATTTTGGAGCACTGTTGTTGGGTGCATAAATGTTTATTATAATTATGTCCTCCTGATGTATTGACCCTTTAAACATTATATAGTGTCCTTCCTTATCCTTTGTGGTGGATTTTACTTTAAAGTCTATTTTGTCAGAGATTAATATTGCCACTCCTGCACTTTTTTGAGTATTGTTTGCTTGATATATTTTTTCTATCCTTTGAGTTTTAGTTTGTTTGTGTCTTTAAGTCTAAGGTGTGTCTCTTGTAGGCAGCATATAAATGGATCGTGTTTTTTTATCCAATCTGCCACTGTCTGTCTCTTTATTGGTGCGTTTAGTCCATTTACATTCAGCATAATTATTGATAGGTATGAGCTTAGTGCTGTCATTTTGATGTCTTTTTTTGTGTGTTGTTCACAATTTCTTTGTTCCAGTTAATTCTGTGTGCTGAGTCATTTTCCTTTATGTATTTTCTTTTCATCTCTTTCATTGTTGTTGATTTTGTGTTTGCTGCGTCTTTATATTTTTCTAGTTTTTTATTTTGATCTATAGGATTGTTAGTTTCCTTTGTGGTTACCTTAATATTTACCCCTATTTTTCTAAATTTATACCAGTGTTTTATTTCTTTATATCGCCTTGACTTCCTCTCCATATGAAAAATTTATGTCTACATTTTTGAAGTCACTCTTTTTTGTTTTAATGTTGTCATCTTTTACATATTGACATCTGTTTCCCTATTTTCAGTGTTTTAGCTTTGATTTAGTTTTGTGACTTCCCTACCTGGGTTGATATCTGGTTGCTCTGTCCTGTGTTCTAGTCTTGTGTTGTTATCTGATGTTACTGATTTTCTAACTGCAGGACTATGGGTAATTCTGTAGCAATTTCCCTCTCCTCCTTGAAAAGTCTAAGATTAGAGACATGTTCACACTTTGATTAAATGGCATTAATTTCTAGCATGTTTAAAGAAATATCTAAGGACTTGGTCCCTACTTTTCACCATTTGAAGAAGCCTACTGCCTTTGAGTCAATTCTGACTCATGGCTACCATTTTACAAAGTCTAATCTTCCATGTGCCACTCCCCCCAACCGCCTCCAATTTCTTACAATGTTATGCATATTGATGTTCATTTGTTATAATAACCTTATAACAGTCTTCAAGCGTATCCATTTTATATTCATTGTTACATTATTTATTATGTATTTTAAAATAAATTATGTTACAAAAAGTTATTTTTAGGTTTGCTTTTTTTCCCCAGTAGGTATCATCCTGATGATGCAGCTGATGAAATGAAGTCTTTCCTGGGAATATTTGATGGCATTTTCTAAAACAAAGAAACAAGAAAAAATACTTCTTATATTAATAAGATAAAGTATAATGAGACTTTATCACAAAGCATGCTTTTTATTGTTAAAAAGTAGTTCATAATGTTCAATTTTTTTTCTGTTGAATTAGATCAGTTTTGCCAACTTCTTTACAACAAAATATTTGGACAGATATATTTTCCCATTATATTGTAACTTCTTGAAAAGCACTTTTACAGTTTTGTTGTTTTTTTGTTTTTTGTAAGCTGATAATTAAGTTGCACTTAGAAATAATTATTTTGGTTATTAATTGGATTTTGACAGAAACTAATTTAAAATTTCATTTTTATATTTTCTTAATGAGAAAAAGGTATTATGTAAAAGCAAAATAATGCTAGTCAGTGAATCTACTTACTGTATGGATCGTTCACCAATATTGTTCTCTTGTCTTTTGTTTTACTAATGATATTTAAGAATCCAACAGTTTGTTGAACCTATTGTTACGTAACTTTGAGCAACAGTAAATAAAACATGAATCGATATAGATTGCTGTTCTCCTTTATTTTGTTTTTCAACAAAACTTTGTTACATTGACTTTTACTGTGTTAAAAAAATTATGCATTATTTCCAATAAATTATATCGCAAACTTTATTTATTACTGAATAGCATATAGGCACTCTAAGCAATGCTTATTATCTAATTTATCTATAGCTACAGTATGAAGTTGAAGTCTACTTAAGAACTTTTAGAAAAAAAAATTTCTGTAAGCATAAAAGCCTTAGAGACAAGAGAAGTAAAAAAAAAAGAAACTCCCAGGCGAGATTGCTATTGTCCTTATTAGTAAACATTTATGAAGCATCATATGTATTAAACATAGATTAAAAGCTTAGAACAAAAATTACAGGCTTTATTTATATGTTGAAAAATAAGTCATCTTCACAATTGGTATGTTTCTGCCACTGAATCAATCATACTACAACCTTTAAAGGTTATTAAACACCATTAAAATGAAAAATTGGTGCACCACAGTCCACTCATCTTGCATACACAGACACTAAGAAATATCAAGTTAATTCAATTAGACTTACTGTGGTCTGCTAAGTGAAAAGCACTATACTTGGCACTGCAGAGGTTGCAAAGTATGAAAACACTTTCTGCTCTAATGGAGCTTACTTTACATCCTAGTAGAGAAGTTAAGACATATGATAAAGTAATGATAAAATGTAGAATACATAGAGCAGTGGTTTTCAAACTTCAGAGTGCTTCAGAACCTGAGAATTCACATTTCTAACAAGTTCCCAAGTGATGCCGATGCTACTGTTCCAGGGACCACACTTTGAGAATCATTGCAATAGAGGTTTAACGAGTTGTAGGAATACATAATAGAGCGAATATAATCCTGCCATGTGGTCAGGGAAGCCTTTATAGAGAAGTTAACATTTGAGCTGAGCCTTGAAAAATAAATAGGGTTTTTACAAAGATATGAAAGAATGACATTCTAGGCAGTGGGATCAGCCTGAGAAGAACTCTAAGAGAGGGAAGTGCCTATTTGAGGAATAATGAATAGATAAATTTAGAGATAGGTTAATGTTGTAGGAGATAAGTGTGAAATATACCTTAAGTTCAGACTGTGGAGGGTTTTAGATGCTAAACTAAGAAATTCTAGTGTTATTCGTAAATTAGTGTTTTCCAAACTTGCCTAATCATAAGAAATGTATGGATAATAAATTAAATATACGAGTTCCTGGGCTTCACCTCAGATCTACTGATTCAAAATCTCTAAGGGAGGGGACTGGAGATTCCATAATCTTAACAAACACTTCAGGAGGTTTTTATGATCAAGCTAATTTGGGAAACACTTGGGTAGATAATAGGTTCACTTCTTATGTAATTTAAAAAAAAAAAAAAAAAGGCAAATTGGCAGTGTTAGCATAGATATGCTCACTTTGTGCAAGAGTTTACCTGGAAAATTATGTATAAGTTAAATATATGTAACTCAAAACCGTGTTACATATACGAACCACTTAAAGGAGTCCAATAACTCGTTATTCTTTTTATGAAGTGAATAATAATCCTAGAGTTTTCTATTTTGTAAGTTGAGCTTTAAGTATAGTGGGTTTATTTATTCATACAGAACGAACCATATGATGGCACTTTTCACAAAAATATTTGTTGGATTAAGTTTTTTCAAAAGTTTCATCTTAATCAGGAAGGTCCTTAACAGCACTTTAAATGACCCATTGGGAATGGGTGAAATAATAGAATATTCATTTGTATTATTTGAGACCCAGTTGCACAGGACTTGACAAACAAAATCCTGATTTTCCACAGATGCATCATCCATAGAAAAAATTTTATCCTAGACTTACTTCCTACACATACTTCCTCATGCTTTCAGGCAGACTGCCCTGCCTCATCCCCTCTTCACCAGCACTATTAGTTGGTATATGTTCAGAGCATATGAATCTATTTTAATATTACCTTAAGTAAAATGTAATTAGAAAATAAATCTTCTGAAATTCTGTTGTAATACATTCTAAAGCCAAATAGAAATGGCTGTTGAATTATTCACTGTTTTAGGTTTTTGCACAATTTACTCTTTAATAGTCATGCAGAGTCTCTGCCATGACTCCATTTCTAAAAAACACTCTCATCAAGCACAGTAGGGAACCACTTTTTAAAGACCCCTAACCTGAGTTGGATACTGGTGACACAGTGGTTGAGAGCTCAGCTGCTAACCAAAAAGTGGCAGCTCAAATCCACCAACCATGCCTCGGAAACCCTGTGGGCTAGTTGTACTTTGTCTTATAGGGTCGCTATGAGTCGGAAACGACTCAACGGGAAAGGGTTTGGTTTTTTTTTGTTTTAAACTAGAGGTGGAGTCCCTAGGTGGCACAAACAGTTAAGCACTTGGCTGCTAGCCGTAGGATTGGCAACAAGAAGCCCTTTGGAAGAAAGGCCTGGAGATCTGCCTCCAAAAGGTCACAGCCATGAAAACCCTAAGGAGCAAAGTTCTACTCTGACTCATAGGGGGTCGCCATGAGTCGGAATCGACTCCATGGCAACTGATTGTTGTTTTGTTGTAGCCTGGGGGTTTCATAGATAATATTTACCTGTGGCATCCTAGGTGATAACAGGTATCTATATTTAAGAACTTTCAGTTTTGTGGGAATAACTATACTTCTAATGAGGAAAAAGTCAGAACAAAGAGGAGAGCCTAAAGCTAAAAATTTCAGTCTGGGTATTGGTTAGGTGGTGAAACAAAACGAAACAAAAAGGACAACCCTAGTGCTTCTTATCTTTTGACGTTCGACTCCTGGCTGTCAATAGTTAAAATCTGATCCAAAGACCAGAAACATGAGAATCTCCTGGGATTTGGTTAGAAATGTTGCATCTAAGACCTCACCCCAGACCTCTGAAACCAAATCTGCATTCTAACAAGATCCTCGAGTGATTATGTGCACATGCAAGTTTGAGAAGACTTGTTCAAGGTGGTAAGAAAAGGAAAAGAAGCAATATCAGAATACTAAGAGAGTATATTCTAGGAGACAATTGTAAGAGTAATGATGATTACTTGATTTTCTGCATGTGTATTTCCTATTTTAAATATAATATGGAGATACAGCTCTTGTTTAATTATTTTTCAGTATAAGTTGCTTTCTTCACCAACTGTATAAATTATCTTTATAATTCTCATGCATCAGCTGGGTATTTTTTATGTAGCTTGAGAGGGACTTAGATGCTCTATAGAGTTTTTGTTTTAATTAACTTAATAAAAGCAGATAATCCAAAAGAGCAATCTTTGTCTTGCTTATTTTCACATTTCCATTTGGAATTAACAGATGTCTTAAAAAATCCGTACATGCTTCAGCAAAACATAACAGAAACAAAAAAACCCATAGTATTCTCAAAGATTTACAAAAATGTATATAAACCTACACTTGCATATTATATGTTGTAGCTATAATTAAAATTAAGCTGACATTAGCATTTTGCCTGAACTCTTTATGACAGTAGGTGGCTTTAATCCTTACACACAATAAGGTTATCCTTTTTTTAGTTTCTGTATTGATTAGTTTGGAAACTTAAATTTTGTACCATTTAAAATGAGAAAATGGAAAAACATAAAGGAATTTTACCACAGTCTTTTCTGATGACTAATCTACACAAGAGTTTTATTTAAAAAAATTAGTTCTTTCTGTTGCTATATATTTTAAGCAAGGGAAATATTTGGATAGTAATGAAAAAACGTTAGAGATTCTAGTTCAAAACTTCAACTTACAGAAAGGAAAATCTAGTCTCCAAAATATTCAATTACTTGCCCATAGTTGCTCAACTAATTACTGATAGAATCTGAACTGGAACCCAAGTTGATTCTCTGCTTTTCTTACTTCAGTTCCTAAATTTAAGGGTATATCTCATGCCCACTCTTGTAAATTTTTATCTCTTGATCAGAAGTTTAAAACGTACATCATTCATTCTCTTCTTTAAATTTATTAAGGAATTCTTTTCCAGTTATGAACTATAATAATTCAGTTCTAAATAGAATTTTACCCATAGCTGTTGCTACGTTTACACTTTTGCAACAATGCAGACACAAATTATATATATATGCAGCTTAGAATGGTGTCGGTATGTATTATTGTTTGAAAACAGCCAAATATATATTATTGTTCTTTCATCCAACAAATAGTGATTGAAGAGCTGCTATATGCTATCCAGTGTTTCATGAACTTGTGCTAGAAGGATGAGTATGGCCAGATCATGTTTCAAGGGGCTCATGGATGATCTGTGATCCAATAGAATGAAGAAATTATCGAACAACATCATTAATATAACATGCAAGTAAATTTATACTGAAGATAATTCAAAAATGGTTGCAGCAGTACATTGACAGGGAATTACCAGAAATTCAAGCCAGATTTAGAGAGGACATGGAACAGTGATATCATTGCTGATGTCAGATGGATCTTTGCTGAAAGCAGAAAATACCAGAGAGATGTTTACCTGTGTTTTATTCATTATGCAA